ACCGTCGGCCAACAATCGCAGTGTTCCTTGATCTGAAAGGATCCTTCGACTCAGTTGACCGCGAAGCTCTGATGGGTTTCCTTTTTCGAAAAGGAATGCCCCAAGAGTACGTTAACCTACGGAGGTCACTGTACTCACATACCTCCGGTCGTGTAAGGGTATACAATGAACTAAGTAGGCTGTTCGTCACCAGCAGCGGCGTTCGTCAAGGGTGCCCTCTTACACCGTTCCTGTTCAATTTCGTCGTAGACGAAATACTGGAGAGCACACTAACGGGACTCCAAAATGTAGGTATTGAATGGACAGCTGGAGAAAAGCTGTGCGGTTTAGAGTACGCCGATGACATCGTGTCTGTTCGAATGTATAGGGGACGCGCAAAGCGCCCTTGATAGATTGACAAGTGCAGTAGCCACATTCGGTATGTGCTTTGCAGCTTCAAATTGCAAAGTGATGCTGCAGGATTGGGTTTCGTCTCCTCCCGCTCTGAAACTAGTTGTGGTGGATTGCTTTTACTACTTAGGTAGTTGCATGGCCAATGACGGCAATGCAGCAAAGGAGATAACCGCCCGCATTTCCAAGGCTCGAGCAGCATACACAGGACTAAAACACCTTTGGCGTAGACGCGACGTTTCACTGAAGTTGAAAGGTCGTATATATTGTGCTAGCGTTCGTTCAGTCCTGCTTTATGGTTGTGAGACGCTGAATTTGCGAGTAGAAGATATCCGTCGACTGGAAATTTTCGATTATTGGTGTTTACGCAGTTTAACCCACGTTGGATGGAGCGAACGGGTTANAACCTTTGGCGTAGACGCGACGTTTCACTGAAGCTGAAAGGTTGTGTATATTGTGCTAGCGTTCGTTTAGTCCTGCTTTATGTTTGTGAAACCCTGAATTTGCGAGTAGAAGATATCCGTCGACTGGAAATTTTCGATTATTGGTGTTTACGCAGTTTAACCCACGTTGGATGGAGCGAACGGGTTATTAACGTGGAGGTAAGCCGTCGTGTGTTTGGGAGTCTATCACGTATAAACCTGCTGGCACACCGAATTCAAATTAGTAGACTTCGCTGGCTAGGGCACGTATTGTGCATGCCCAGCTGTCGTCTGCCGCACCGCGCTTTATTCACTGTAGCTAATCCGGGCTGGAGAAAACCACGTGGAGGTCAACAGATGACGTAGNACATTGAAGGATATGGCAGCGAACCGGCAGCAGTGGCGTTCTTGTTGTCGTTTCTTTTCAGGTCAGAATGCTTGAAGCGGTATGTATGCAGAGTTCGATTGCGTACTGTGTGTTGACCATAGAGGTTCACCTTCCCCTCCCTTAAAATAGGTCTAATCCTTGTCCACATTTAATTTTACCACTAACCTTGTATGCATTGCGAGTTTGGCAGCTATCAATGAAGTTCGCCTCACTGTATTTCGCTGTACGATGATGACGATGAATCATCCAATCACTGATAAAAAAATGTTACTATAGGTATTGTAATGCCCTAATTAGAGCTTGTTTGAAGTTCATTCACACGCTCTTGTAACAGTAGTTACTGAGATTAATAATAGTCACATTTGTTCACCTTGAATTTTATGCTTATCGTACCACCACTGCCATTTCTGAGGTGTTTATAGATTGCAAGAATCAAGATAACCACCATAAAATCGTTCGTATCGGGTGATGCTAAAGTTTTATCCACATGAAATTCAATGATCTTTTCACGTTAGATTTATCCTTTGGAAGTACAGCCAAGTTCCCCACCCGTGAATTTGTCACAGAAACTTGGGCACGACCCAAATTTTTTCCTTTGGCTGTTTAGTTTTAGAGTTCTGTTACTTTCAGTGTAATGTGAAGTTGAATTGAACGCCATCAACTACATCGCCCTTTTTTGACTTTCTAATTCCAATACTTCTACATCAAACCACAATGGCTCAACCGAACCAGAGGCTATGTGACCAGTGATGTTCCCCACGTAACTTGACAGATTTTGATTTTCGTTCTGTCGATATGTTCATCGTGTACCCGCGTGTTCTGTGTCCGTCTAGCGATAGTCCTTATGCCGTCCATTGCTTCTAAGTCGTGATACCTGTCTGGTTACGGGGCAGGGATTTCGCTTCTTCAAGATTGTCTTGCTTTACTTGTTTTATAATCACTCCGGACTAATCGCCTCTTGTGATTTTGATCGTAGTTTCAGGGTGTCAGATCTACATGGGTCGTTCTGTACTTGTGCCTCGGTTACCCACTGTTAGCGTATTTTTTAGAGAGAGAGAGCTAATTGGGATACGTCAACCTTGGTTTCTAGAAAGACTGCCTCTGTTGTACTGTATGTATCCTTGGAGAAAGACTGTTTTGTGCCCTGTGCTACCTTAGAATACAACATTCTCATCTAAGGTGAGTCTCGTGGAACCTTGATATTTATGACCTTTACCAACTGTTCACTCTTTTTCCATCCACATAGTCTTGAAATGCTTGTATTTCGCTTGAAATCCCTTAAGATTTGATCATTATATAAACTTTCCTCATACAGACAGACGCGGAGAATCAGCCACCGTACAAGGCGATCAATCTTCACATTGCTTGTAATGGTGTCAACTCTGGCGGTGAATGGCGTCAGTTGGTGGGACATTCGGTGGGATGTATCGGTGGACATAATGTTCACATTTCTGTCAATCGCAGTCAGTCTTCGAAGGCATCTAAACCTTCTGCAGCTGGAGATAATGCCTCTCCACCCGCTTGTGATTCCGCAGGTATGTTATCGTACTCCATTTTTGTAATAATAATGTTATTTACTTTTTATTTTTTAAGTTTAGGAATGTACAGTCAACTTTCAAGAAGTGGGTCGCGGTCATTGAAAGGCTGAGTATTCCGATGTGATTCATCGGTTTCTGTCAGTCACTTTTTGACGTTTTCCACTTTGCCGAAGAGAATGTTCCACAGCATGCTTTTTCCGCTAGAGTTGAACTCCTCCCAGGGCACAGTTTAAGATATACCTATACTGTCGTCTGTTGGCGACTAGAGTATGACAGCTTCAATTGGTGCTTCTCAATTTCCTGGTTAT